GGGCGGTCGCGGTGAGCCTCTGCTGCTGCCCCGTGGAGTGGACAAGGCAGGACGGAGGGGACGTCCCGGGTGGCGGGGGAGCAGGGTGGCCCGGCCAGCTGACAAAAACCCCAACCCCAACTTGAGCTCTTTGCTTGTACAAACACGTGGGGTTTAAGGCAAGCTGGGGCTGTTTGCTTTGTATTCCTTTAAGGGCTGGGCTTAGCAGAGCCAGGCTATGACCTCGGGAAAGGGACAGACACCATGGCCCAACTCCAGATGGGGACTTATAAACATCCCGCCTCGCAATGACAAACGCTCTGGTCCCGGAGGTCCCGCGCCGTGGGGCCGATTCTGCCATCCTTGGCTGCACCGCAGCTCCAGCCACCCCTGTTGCCGCAGCTCTACCCCTAGGACAGTGCGATTGGGGCACAAAGCTGGAAGAAACACGTTTTCCATCCTCTGCTGCTCTTCAGATGCTTTGTGCTTGAGCCAGATGCCCCACAAATGGAGGAACACCCCCAGGGATGCTTCCCAGGAGGCTTTTTCCTGAAATCCCTGCCCCGGCTGAGCCCCTGATTCCCACTCCAAACCCTCCATCCCCATCCTTGCTGGCTGTTGCATCCCCAGTGGGAGGTGGCCCCATGTGCCATGGGGACAGGGCCCTTGGGATGGCCAGACAGCCCCAAGAGACACTGTCAGCGCTGCAGCTTTGGCCGCACAGCCCCGCACTAAGCTGGACCAATTCCTGTGGCCAGCGAGGATTTAGCAAGGGAAGGACCATGGGCCTGGATGCAGCCGCTTGCAGAGGAGGTTAAGTTGCATTTTGCCAACCCTTTGTATTGATCCAGGACCTCTTTCGGCTCCTGGGGATCAGAGCATCCTTCCACCTGCTCCCCAAAACATCCCGCGGGCTTAGAGGCACCGTTCTTGCAGCCGTGTTGGTGGTGGGTACCCTCAGCCACCCGATGCTCTGGTTTTCCCCCTCCGCTCCTGCTTCCGACCAGCGAGCTCCCTGCCAAGCGCAGAAATCCCTGCTGTTCGTCACCGCACAGGGG